TGAATAAAACTACATCAAAATCTAATATTTCATTTGACCTAATATAGGAGGAAGTTATGATATTATTGTTATTCAGTTGTGACTTTTTCGAGCAAATAGCTTGTCAAAATATGTCTTATACCGTTGATTGATATATTACGCTTACGCTGGGAAGATGCCCAACCTTATGGGGCAAAACGAGGTCCAAAAAAATCTCACACCTAGATGGCGTACCATAGTTCGAAATCTCACATAGTGGCGGCGATAGTGTCGAACGATGTCGGAGCAATACTTCGTAATTTGACGGGCAGGTGCGCCACTTACGAAGAGAATCTATTGGAATGCAGATGGCGTGCGATCGAATCCATGATCAATCAGTACGATTCTAACTAATATGGCGGTAAATTCGAATTTGTTAGTAATAGTTGTACTGGATGTGCTTCTAACGAGCGCATCACGGACGTGAGATCATGAAAAAAGTTTATAGAAATCGAATTGGAGTAAATCACAAAATTTAATGTCTCAACAATAAATGCTTCCATTTTTGGCGATTGTGGAATAAACTGGTCAGCGGATATCAATATATAAGCTGCTCATAAATTTGATTGAAATTCACGAATCCGGACCAGTGTTGTCACCTTAGTGTATTTTACCCTAGAGCTGAATCTAAATGGGTCTGTTTGAGTGGAATTTCATTTCATTATGTCAAATTACTGAATCAAACGATAATTCACTGTCGCATATCATTTTCTTGTCAGAGCTATGTAAAATTTTTGAAATTTTTATTATTGAAAATACTGATATTTATCACATGAAAAACGCGGAACATTGCGTGACAATTCTATACCGCTATCAATCCAAAGTATTTTATAGTGGTATATGATCCGACCTATGTATTGCCGAAACTCGGTGCGTTTGTCGGCGATAGGGCTGCCAAGCCGTCGTTTGTCGCCCTAACAACACAAGTACATCCTAGGGACTTCCCAGGGACGTCCCTAATTTTATACAAGGACATCCCAGAGATATCCTTTGTCGGGACAGAGTACATACTAGGGACGTCCCAGGGACATCAGCTGGCTGACAAAAAAAGCATCCAAGGGATTTCCGTCTGGTACGTCCCTGGGATGTACCAAGTACGAAGAAAGGATACCCCTAGGAGGTCCCAAGGATATTCGAGGGACATCCCTTCGACAAAAGAAAAAAATGTAGGTCGAGTAGGGCTTGAACCCGGGACCTTTAGCTTTTTCAGGCACGCACCTTACTCCATTGGCTGATATGCCTTCTGAAGATTTATGTACCAAACAGATTTTTAAACAGGACCAAACTGCTGAAACCTGAATAAATACAACTTTGTTAGGATTTGGGTATAATTATTATCATTCGTGGATGTTTAAAAATGAGGGGCATCATGCATTTACGATTTCTGTTTGCGAAAAATGGTCATTTCTTGAGAAGTTCTGACTTTCTTTATTTTCATTACAATTATTTACCGGAAAAAAACCAAACATTTTCATAAAAATTCAACTTAATATTTTGATGAAAGTCAATGATTCTTATGTGAATAGATATCAGATATACCAAGGACACGAATTGGATAACCTATGGATGTACGGGGCCAGATGTCCACTGGACAACCACTGCGGGACATCACCTGGATACCCCAATTATGTCCTTGTACCGTGTGACAAAGAGTGGAAGTACAGGGTGATTCACCATAAATGCCCCCCCCCCCTCTAGCTCAGTTATTTTTGAACCGATTTCAAAATTTTAAATATCATCTTGAATGATTTTCGATAAAGTTTTTTTCCGCTAGATCAGAAAATACAGGGTGCTCGGAACAAACGATCTACAGGGTACTATTTGATTTTTTTAAATGGAACACCCTTTGTTTCATCGTATTTTTAGATTCTCCCTGAAGAGCTGATTTCATCAATGCATCACACTTGGGGTCTAGCGGGACTGATTACAGAGATATAGGGTGTTCAAAAGTGAGATTTTTAACTTTAGGATTTTTTTTGTGACGAAACTATTCATTATCGGTCACGCGGTTTTCATGTCCGTATCTTAACTTTTAATTTACTATCTACTGACATTTAATAATTGGAACAGATACAGGGTGACCAGAATTCTGAATCTTGAACCACCCTGTAAATGTTCCAATTAAATTTCACTAGATAGTAAATCGAAAGTTGGGATGGGAACATAGAAGCCGTTTTGACCAATAATGAATAGTTTCGGCACAAAAAAATCCTAAAGTTGAAAAATCTCGATTTTGAACACCCTATATCTCTGTAATCATTCCCGCTAAACCCCAAGTGTGATACATTGATGAAATCAGCTCTTCATTTTTATAGTGAACATTAACAATCAAAGATTCAAAGATATCTGACTATTTATTTTCTATCTACTGATGAGACTCTAAGAAATTATCACATTCAGATTGATTATATTATCAATAATTTGTAATGTCTTATGAATACAAAACTTTAAAATTGAGTAAAAATAATAATCAACGAAAAAGGCGTGGGATGTTTTTCCAGATATACAAATTATATTGGTCTAGGGTCTAGGCAAAAGCTTACGCGTAATATATCTTTAAAAAAACGCCACGGAGTAGGAACCCAACTGAGTGAGAGATCATAATATGTTCTTCTCTCTTCCGCAAGGAACCGAGGGAAAAATCAATACTGTCCATGGGATTCACCGACGTAGCAAACATTTTTTTATCGGAACCGGTCGGGCGGGTCGCATTTAAACATTCCGGTATAGGATTCGGCACCTGCTTAAATTCTATTGGCGGATTTTGATTTGTCTGACCAATTAAAGGCGAAGTGCCGAAATCTGTACCAGAATGTTGAGCCGTGCTGAAAAGCAGGTCGGAATGTTGCCTTGCCCTGCATTTTTTATTATACCGTCGTTCCCACATGCCAGAGATGATACACTCCCCCACATGCTAACAACAAACCTGCAATCTTGTTATTATAGTTAATTGCAATCATCAATTAGTGAAGTATACCATGAATCACTAATTATGGAAAGATTATTAAAAGTTTCAGTAAATTTGTATAGGGGCAATATGAAGAATGAAACAGAAGTTGTGCAATGGATGAATGATTATGAAGCTCAGTCGTTTACATCATGGCGTTTCAAATCAGGCCCTACAAATATTAAAAGATTCTTGTACACGTAACAATTTTATGTTTTTTAAATATTTTTTTATTTGCTCATGAAATGTATTCGAAGAAGACGAAGACGCAGTTTGGCAGGTAACGTGGCGAGAAATCAACCAAAACGCTAAGTCCCATATGGAATAGGACATTGACAGACATTAAATGTTCTAATGATTGTTATTTCGAATTTATTATCTCATTTTATTACACATAATCATTCATTTTAAACTTTTATACCAAATAAATCATGAATATAAATGAAAATTTGAAGTTATTGAAAAATGCGTTCATTACACATTATCTCGAGCTTTCATTTCATCAACATTCCGACCTGTGTTTCAGCACCGCTCAACATTCTGGTACGAATTTCGGCACTCCGCCTTCAATTGGTCAGATAAATCAAAATCGGCCAATAGAATTTAAGCAGGTGCCGAATCCTATACCGGAATGTTTAAATGCGGGCGGCATGGGTCTCATCGTAGAAGACATAGATTGAAGACAAGGATAAACCAGTAAACAAAAATTTCTGGAGCGATAGCACGCGGTGGGATGGGATCTGTAATTCTGTACAAAAGTGTAGTAATCTGTACAATTAGTTCAGACATGTTCTGTGTGCCTAGTGGAGTCGCTACCTCACAGTGGCTAAACGATAGACGAGGGGATGAGAGGGGCATCGACTCGCAAATAACACAGGTTGGGCATCTTCCCAGCGTAAGCGTAATATATCAATCAACGCTTATACTCCATAACAAAATATCAAGTAGGTAAATGTTGGCTGGAGACTTGGCAACATTTACCGGACTAAATGTCCTTCAGTACGAATCAATATAATTATTATGAATTATTTATAGCTCTTGATATTTCTGATTATTTCATTCACACCCGGCTGGACCTATGAAATGTCATGATTGAAGTCACATGATATGCGATATCAGCGGCTATTTAGGTAAACAAACAATATAAGCGGCTATTCTGTTCACCAGCATAAGAGTGCTATGGTTGTCAAACTTTGACATACCTATCAGTCACTCAAAAATTGAAATGTCTCGTTTTGGGTCAACTTCCACTACGGAAATTCGTAATTATGTAAGCGAATCGATATCAGAAAATAACAAGGAGAGTAAAGAGTCTGTCTGGAACAATTCATGTTTTTTTGCCAGCAGAAAAACTATGAATTTTATGCGACTACCCCATATCTCGTGATTGTCGAAATCCTAAAAGATTGGGTGAGGAGAATGATGAGGAAAATTAGGAATACACAGTTGAAATTGATATGGAAAACTATTTATATACAGGAAGGTTACTTCAATGAACATAAACGTATAAGACAAATCTATTTGAATATATCGAGTTCAAATAAGGTGCCAGGGTTGCGCATAATGCAAAAAGGCGAATATTAACGCTATCAATAGCGTTAATATTCTTTCTTTGGTCTAACTTTAGATGAATTGGTTGCAATTGTACGTAGATATGATGAGAACACCTCAGACGGCCTTCAGAAGAATTTTCATCCAAATAGTATCTGCAGAATTGTAACTTGAATAAAATGTTGAAACTCATATGAACCAGTATTTTCACACTGTTCATGAAATAATCTTCCTCAATATCACTCGACCATGACAAATGGAGACTATTATTTTCTTTAATTCGTCTCGTATTGTATTTTGGGGCAATTATCAATTCGACCATATGAACATAAATAATCATAGAATAACTCCCTCGAGCTCAAGCTCTCGGGAGTTATTCAGATTATTAATGTTCATATGGTCTCATCAAATTGTCAAAATACAAGGTACTCTCGATAGAATTATGAAGAAAATAAAAAGTATCGATATAGCAATAATGTCTTACCTTTCTCGCTTGTACATGTGATAGTTTATGGCCCTCGCCGTCAATATGGCTATCATGGGCCTTATCGCTTTCCCATGCCCATCGAAATAATAAGTTGCTATTTCATATAAATTATCCTGGAATGTGTTTCGCCTCAATGCCTGAAAATAGAAAAAAAACCGAAACAGTGAAAAATCTAATTTTTCTCCAAATGACATCAAAAGTGGATTTTCAATGACACTTAACAGGGAGAAAAGTTGTAGTTTTACTGCCTAGGCAGAAAAAGTTTGTTGCTATGCAACGTTCCAAGTAATTTGAACCAAATTGGTAATCAAAATTGACAATGTCTATGGGTGAACAAACAATGATGGATCATTTGGTGAAATTGAAAAGAATTTGAAGAATAAATTATATGTTTCACATGGCAGGAAACAAGATGTAATGCCTCGGCTACGCCTAGGCAATGAAACGCCAGCCGCGGCATTTAATCTTATACTTTTCTGCCTAGTAAAACGAATAACTATTATCTCTAAATCACATTAAAAGTGGCATTTCTATGATACTTAACAGGCAGAAAAGGAGAGCCAGATCGCCAACTTTACTACGTGTAAGAGAAGAGAAGTGAGTGATTTTGTGAACGAGGCATCACCCACGAGACGAATTGCCCTTTTTTGGACAGAATCCAACAGTTTCAGGGTATGTTTGAGTGCTGCACTCCAAATATGGGAACAGTATTCCAGGAAAGGTCGGATCTGTTCCTTATAGATAATAAGCAGCTGACTGAAAGGGCTCCTGGCCCGAAACAGAAAACCAAGTTTCTGGGATGCACTTTCAGCAATTGATCTCACGTGATTTCCCCAAGAAAGTTTATTGCTGTTAGTAATACCAAGCATCGAAATGGATGTCTTCAAAGGTATGGTTACTGTGTTTGGATGTATGATAAATTATTGATATTCATCATACAGGGCGTGAAAAGGAATTCTGAATTGAGACTCTATCACGAATCTGTGATTGGAGGTCTATAAAAATGACAAGTTTCCATGGTTCAAGTTTGAACCCCTTGATTGGGTATGAAAGTGTTGAAAAGGAATATTCTCAGAAAAATTATGAACATAAAAAAATGGATATATATATTTATAAAGCAATACATTGAGAATTCGCATTCTTTATGTGATGAGAATATCAAGTCTTTTTCAGTTTATTCAACAGAAAACAACTACTTTCCTGGCTATATGCCACGACGAACATTGAATTATATATCTATTGAACACACACGATAAGAGTTTGAAAATTAAATATAAAATCTTCTGAAATTGAGAATTTGCATTCTCCTTCAGACAAAAATATGTATATGCACACATCATTCTGAATATTCAACAGAAAACAACTACTTTCCTGGCTATTTGCCACGTCGAACATTGAATTATATCTGATGAACATCCATACAAGCGTATGTTGGCCACAGTGAGATCGGCTTTTCTAGAGAAAAGGCATGCTTGTGTTATCTACCAAGTTATTGGATCCCCATTCGAGAATTGTTGCCAAGTCCATATTTATGTTGTCAACATTTCTCCCTCGTTCGTTCCTGATTCGCCTGGCTGGTATTGGAGCCCTGGAAGAGAAGGCGGTATGGAGGGTACTATCATCCACGAAGCTGTATACTGGACATGAAGTTGCTCCCAACAAATCGTTGATATGGAGTAGAAATAGTGTTGGTGCTAGAATTGATCCTTGCGGAACACCAGCATTTATGATAAGAGAGTCAGATGAAACTCCGTCGACCACTACATGGAGAGACCTGTTTGAAAGAAAACTAGCTAGCAGAGAACATAGCTGGGGAGGCAGACCATAAGATGGAAGCTTGGCGAGAAGTCCGTGGTGCCTTACTCGATCGAATGCCTTGGAGATATCAAGTGCCACGGCTAAGGTTTCACCATATTTTTCAATAGATTGCTGCCATAAATATGTGAGACGTAAGCGGGCAGGTCACCAGTTAATCTCTGATGACGGAAGCCATATTGCCTATCGTTGATAATACCTGAATGTTCCAGGTATTTCATGAGCTCGACGTTGATAGCTTTCTCCATGATCTTTGGAATAATAGATATGCGATCGGTCTGTAGTTGCTAGGTAGGGTCTCTTTGCCTTTTTTAGGAACTAGTTGTATATATGTGTGTATATTGCATATGAGTGAATTGACACTATTGACAGTTTTATCTACCTAGGTAAAATTTCTTTATTAATGTATCCTCATTTACCTAGATTTAAAAAATGTTACTTCTCATTAGAATTAGAGGAACTCCTCGAATGATGGTGATTTCTCAGGTAAGTATGGTGGAAAAAATACATTATTAGGTACTCATTTGGTCGGATCGGTCCTTGTTTCCGCCTGAATTTGTTGTAACTCAATAAGGAAGGGGGTGCCATTGGAAATATTGAAGTAGGGGTGGCTTGGGGAAAATGGAATGGACATAGAATTCAATCTAAATCGAGCAATTTTTTTTTCAAAAGTTGTGATCATCATATCCGATGATATGCTGGGTGGTAAGTTTCGAACAGGGGCGGATCCAGGGGGGGGGGCATGGGGCCATGCCCCCCCCCCGGGATCCTCATGGATATGTAAAACTGTAGGTATTTTGAATGAATGAAAAAATTAGTGTTTATGTCTAGAAACTTTGCAACAGCTCTGAGAAATTGCGAATTTGTAATATCACTCTGCTGTTTGGCAAATATATTTTCGATAACACTGCCACTCAGTAATTTGCTCCAAACAAAAAACTTAGACAAAAAACAAGCTAACGGTGTTGTTAGTATCACTCTTCTGACGCTTCAAAATAAAAGGGATGATATTCTAAATACTATCTAAGTATTTCGAATGTAGCCAAACAGAAATTAAAAGAACTGAATGTTGAATTTTCGATGCCGAGAATAACAGGGAGACTGGTTCATAGACCGAATCCTACGGTTTCCTCAGTGGATGACCATTACATAATAACTGTTTTCATCCCAGTATTATCTTTGATCTGAATGATAGACTATCAGAAAATAAATTGAATCAATACAACCTTCATCTTTGTGTGCCATCAATAACTAAAAACAAAACAGATGAGGAAATATATGAGGTATGAGAAATATACTTGAACAGTTTCCGACCATTGATGAATGATGAAATGTCCTTTCAGAAGATCGTTTCTGAAATGTATATATGGAAGAAAATGAGGGATACTAAGCAAAATATACCAAACAATGGTATAACTGCCCTGAAGGTATATGTAACATTTGTTAGCTAACATAAACATTCTTCTGGAACCATTATGTTGCCTGCCTGTAAGTGTTGCATCTTCTGAAAGTAGTGTTTCAACACTCAGAAGGCTGAAAGATTAGATAAGATCCAAGAGAGGTTAAATGGATTGGCATTGATGCATATTCATAGGGGCATCTGCAGCAGTCTGAATGTTGATGATATCATCCAAAGATACGCTAGGCAGAAGAATAGAAGACTGGAATTTGTTTTCTTTATTTTATATATATTTATTTTTGTCTGTTCAATTTGTTTTGTTTTTTATAAGAAATATTTTTATTCACTTTTGAATTCTTCAACAGAAATATTTTTTTATTTACTTTTTTTATCTAATATGACAGGATTTTACATATATTGATGGAATAAAAGTTTGAACTTGTTTTTTTACACCAGTAATTTCGATACTTGAAAGGAAACTAAAGATTTCATGTTTACTATAATCAATATTTTTAATGAAAAAGCATTTGCCTCAGAAGGTCACCACATAATTTCTCTTCCGCGCTAACCTTATTGAGCCGTGACTTTTTATGCCCCCCCCCTCAAACATCGTCTGGATCCGCCCCTGGTTTCGAAATAAAAGCCCTGTATATTATTTCATAGACGATAGCTCATCTCTCCTGACTCACTGCCTCGTCATCTGCCTATGACTCAGCATCATCTACTTACTTTTTAAATTGACTAACGACTGACATTTTCCCTACTGTGTGAAGGAGTTCAATGTCCTAGATTCGTAAAAGAGTGAAGATGAAGATGTGCCTTCACTTTCAGCATCACCTATCAATACGAAAACCATATGTTTCGAGGCAAAAATAATTATATCCATGTAAAAAAACGCATTGCCTAACAATACTGTCAATAAAAGATTAATCGATTGAAAGTATAAACATCATCTGTGTGCTGATGTATTTACGGGTGGAGTAAAAAAATTTATGTTTGCATGGTATGTTGTCATTATTCTCAATTATTTCTTTCATTAGATCTCTTAACATCGACAATGACATGAAAATTATTATGTAGGCCAAGGAGACAGTAAATGCAGCCACAAAAATTACTCATAACACCTACATCCGGTAATTTGGATTCCCATATCAGGGGTCAATGGTAATCTTCATTCACCGTTACATAATAAATGACAAAGTATTTATAACGGACCTGTTTCAGTGAAAAATTTTTCTCCAAATGACATTGAAAGTGTCTTTTTAATGACACTTGACAGGCAGAACATGTGCACTTTTACTGCCTATAGGCAGATCAATATTTAATTAAATTGTAATTTTAAAAATTTTATCTTAGCAGATTTTACATAATTAAATAATAAGTACTAGTTCATTCATACAAGTGAATCGCGCGAAAAACTTGTATGATCATATAAATTGTGTATAATGAGGTTATAAGTTGATAGTTAAAATTATTATGAAAAATTTTATTTTCTTCTTTTTAGAGCGTTTCAATGAAAGCTTTTATTAAAAAGTTATTTTTCACTTTTAATTTATTAGAGTTAATTCTTTCGGTTGCAGAAAACATAGCATGTTTGATTCGGATCGAAAGTGACTTTACTTGACTCGCAAATTTTGCTTCGCAAAATTCGATTGTCAATCAAAGTCACTTTTGATCCTAATAAAACAATCTACGTTTTCCTCCCGTAGGAGTAAATTGACAACTTTGTTTCCTTAAATGAGGGAGCAAACGTCTACTTTCGATCCAGTGAGTACATAAATTGTATTAAGTACCTGAAGATTCTATTTCTGAGACAAATACTTATTTAATTCCAGTAAGATATTCTGACAATCTCATAGCTAGAGAATTTTGATGGTTTTTGGAGTGAACATTCACTTTGCCATATCCAAGATCACAATTTCTCTGAATGAAGTGCGTATTTCTTCGAATGAGAGAATAGTTTTTTCAACAGGAAAAACACAAGAGCTTTTTATCGGATAGATTTCTCTTGGTAACGAAAATCATATCTCTGCCTTCATTGATGATCCCGTGTAACTGGTAGTTTGCGGAATTGATTTTTTCATATTTTCGTGGTTTCTTCAGACGAAATTTTTCTGAAACGGCTCATCTTGCTAATTTACGCGTGAACCATACCCATCAATCCAACTAGATCAAAGGAGCAGGCAGTTTTATCAGCGATAAAAAAGGTGCATCTTTTTTATCTACTCACTGAATCGAAAGAAGGCGTTTGTTCCCTCATTTGAGGAAACGAAGTTATCAATTTACTCCCACGGGAGGAAAAAAATATCAACTCCCGTGGGAGGTAAAATAAATTGGCTTCAGCATCTTTTGGCGTCAATATACCTATATATAATCTGTGCAACCCAAGTAATCAGTGTCTCTATCCTTTTTATAAAACAAATAAGAATAATATCCTTTTTGAATTCCAATGATATCATATACTTTTCATATTCCGAACGTACTTCTAATCGAAAATTCCACAATATACAAATCAATTGATTCATGATGACAGAAGTGTCATATTGACTTTTGTTCAAATGCCGTCAACTGTCCATGGCATACTATATCTTTGTAATGCATAATGATGGATCGAGAGATAGACCACCTGAAGTGCAACACACAAAGAATGATGCTTTGAAAAATGTGTTCGTTGATGAAATCATATATATATATATACACAGGGTGTCCCTAGACCAGTGGGACAGTTGAATATCTCCTGAACCAATAGGAATTTTCAAAATATTATAATTTCACATCATATCGCATTATTTGTGCGAACTTCAGGAATGACTATATTTTCATCAATTTTTTCAAATGGAACACCCTGTATTTCATTGCATTTTCATATTCTCCTTGAAGAGCTGAATTCAACGACCTAGCATACTTGGGGTCTAGCGGGAATGATTTCCGATTCCGATTCCGATTCCGATTTCCGGGTGTGGAAAATCGAGATTTTTCATTTTTGTGAATTTTTTGTGTCAAAACTATTCATTATTGGTCAAAACGGCTTACATGTCCGTGTCTTAACTTTTGATTCACTATTTACTCGTATTTAATTGAAACAAATACAGGGTGGTGTAGAATTCTCAGGTTCAGTCAGCGAATTACATTTTTAATTTTCAGAAGACAAACTTCTTTATTCTATTCAATTGATTATTTATTTATGAAATGAAAAATTTACTGGTTTTTGTTATGAAATCCTAAACCCTAACCTCAATCCGCAAAGCTTACAAAACCAAAACGCAGAAAACGCTCGTCCGGCTTGTCAAACGTAGATTGGGTAAAAGTTACGTTCCTCTCGGAGCAGGATGAATAGTTGGAAGTCGGATGTTCTTCCTATGAAAATTGAAACGATATTTGGCATCTGTCGAGTAACTTCAACTGTAAATTGAAACGACCTCTACTAAACGGTTGTAGATCGAGTACAATTTTGAAACGCGCGTCAGGGAGTAGATAAATTGTATTAGGTAGGTACCTGAAGATTCTATTCGTGAGACAAATACTCATTCCTTTCCAGTAAGATATTCTGACAATTTTGATGGTTTTTCAAGCAATATCCAAGATCACAATTTCTCTGAATGAATTGCGTATTTCTTGGGATGAGATGATCTTTTTTTTTCAGTGTACTCACGCTTCTGATGTAATCGTAGACGTCCTTGAGATCGTCCTCCAAGATGACGTACGGGTCGATCTGGTACTCGGGCATCGACCCCGGCTGCTGCGTTCGCATGGTGGCGAAGCTCCTGCTGCTCCTCATCGCACCAGCCGTCGTCCCTGCAGCTTCGGGCCTCACGCACGGGTGCCAACATCCGGAAGTCGAAGCTGCCGCCGCGACGGCGTTGTTCAGCGCCTGCGCCTGAAACAACAGACCTTTTTAGAAGAACCAGTCGACTCACTCGTGGTATCTTGACTCAGTGTTAATCAGCGTTGGGGATGCTATAGGTCGCGTGCAAGAACTGTCAGATGACCGACCCTGGAGGCAAAACATATTTGTTTACAAGTGATCGAAATAGTTTTCCACAATTATTTTGGCATATGAATCGTATTTTTCCGCTATTCATCAATTCGCTAATGCCATCACATTGTGCTGTTGTAAAATGCACAAAAACTGCAGCGGAAGATGAAGAAATCCGGATGGTACATTATGATTCAAAAGTAAGTACCTACTATAGTCACTCACATAGTTTTCATTTTTGAAATTTGGTTATTTCTCTGATTTCTCATCGGAATTCCTTCTGCAATAGGATCAGCTAATAGAAATATACCTGAAATTCCTAGAATAATGCAAGAAGATTGGATTCATGCAATCAATCGGTAGGACTGGTCTGACATGCTGACGATCGTGTGTGTTGTAGGCATTTTCAATCTATTAGCAGTATTAGCTTGGATTGCAGAAGTGGCAGAAGGCAGAAGGAATTTTAATAAGGAATGACAACATTTCATAATGCTAACTATGTGAGATTACTATTTACCTGAAAAATCATATTCCCTAGTCTCTTGCTGCATTTTTTGTGCATTGTACAACAGCACAATGCGAAGGCATGCTTGAATTAATGAATAACGCAAGAAACACGATTCGTATGCCAAAATATTGTGAAAAACTATTTCAACCTTTTGATTCCTCTGTAACCAAATAAAAAAGTGAGGTTGTGTTTCAATAATTCACAGAAGAATGAGGTTGTGTTTCAATATTTTGCCTCCAGGGTCGGTCTTCGTGCACGCGACCTATTACAATAGTACTGAATCTATCACTATACAGGGTGTCTGTAAAAGGTTGGGACATGGCTCGGCTGTGGACTCTTGGGATAAAATCAAGTTGAAAAAAATATTTCTGAAGGGAATATCTTTCTGGAAAAAAACTGGAAGTTTCCAGTCTGGCCTCTGAAAAGTTATCACCAAATTTGTACGGCAACATGGTTGTTTGAAACACTCGCAGGTCAAAAACATCTCAAAACGTGACTTACAGTCACAGAACATGCCATGCCAAAAATTATAATTATCGATTTCAGCCTACTCTTCTTATGAGCAAAATTATTTTTTCTCAAAAAAACTTGTACCAACTCAACGAGACGATTTTGGATATAGGTAAGTTGGCCCAAATCAACTTGTTTTTATCCCAGGAGTCCACAGCCGAACCATTTCCCAACCTTTTAGAGACACTCTGTATTACACCTTGCTTAGTACGCAAATGCGACAACAGAAGCTCTTTTCCACAATTTACATATCGAACTCCTGATGAATATGGTCCAACCTCAACGTACAAGAATTTACCTTCTATTTCTGTCAGAAGTATTTATTTTGTTTTATTTCACATTTTCATTATTGACCGAGTCATTTATTTCGTTCCATTTTTCGTTATAGTAGTTATTGAGTGTTTATATTGTTTCAAAACTACCCAAATAAAGATTCATTTTCAATATTCCTATATTTTATCATCACATGTCGAATCTAGTACGATCTATTACAATTGCGTACTAAATTCGAGTACGAAGGATCGCTACTAAAAACCCAACGCTGGTGCTAATAACTAAGTGGATTTCACACTAGAACTGCTGGTTTGAGTTTTCGTTTTGTGAAAAAATATGACATCTAGGGGATGGTGCATGTTTATTTCGGTGATTTTTTTTAAATAAATGGTGACATATGGTGGTGGAGGACCTGCATTCGAAATTCCCCTTGTTTAGGGCCTTGCGAGACCAGGACTGATCAGTCTTGGTCTTGGTCTTGAAAAATAAATGTAGTCTTGGTCTTGGTATTGGTCTTGATGTTTCACCATTTTGAAGAAAAAACTATATATTCGACATAAAAGTTCTGATTGATCAAAGATCAAGTACTAGTATTAAATTATCGAATCTGTTGACCAACACGGGATTGTACCATAAGAATCGTTGTACATTTTTATATCGTTATATTAACGTATCCTTCGACATGCTATTTCAAAATGATAATCAACTATTTTGTGCAGCAGGTGTTTGTAAAAACGCCATTGTTTCCGACACAGTACTTGATATTCGTGTCAATGGATCCTATAAGCGTAACTAATAAACCTAAAAATAGCTGCATTGCATTTCTGCAGCAAATCGAGAATGAGACGTCGGGAAACAATAATTACATCATTTTTTGATTGTATTACAATGAACAAGTTCTCAACAACAAGATTTTTATCTCTTCGTTGAGTTTTATAAACATTGATTATTGAAAGTACTCTTCCAAATATACAGTGCGTTTGCTCGCGATTCCACCACCGGCTATACCTACCTTGGAATTGGAAATCACGTGTCCTGCAATTAAAGACACAAATACTTGTGATACGAGAAAGGCAATCAAAATGGTCACAAGATATAACGGACAAAAAGAGGCTTCTCACTGGCCAAGGTCAACTTTAAATTGACCAAAACCCTCTTTTGAAGCAAATCATTTACCATCATGTACAAGTCAGGTACTTTTCCACCCTGCTGGCAAATAGCAAGAGTCCAACCAATCCTCAGAAAAGACGACAAGAATCAGCCATTCATTGACTCCCAGACAGTGGTAGAATCTATTTGTGAATTCCTTTCGCACATTTGAAATGTTTCTCTAGTTATTGCCTGACATTCAACCCAATTATCCTCTTCAACTTATCGCCCAGATCATAGTCGATTTTGTTCTATAAATAACGGATTTCGGATGACCCCAAAGAAAAAAATCATTGGGTGCCATGTCCGGCGAGCGTGCTGGCCATTTAAATGGTCCTTCACGACCTATCTATTTGTTTGGGAAATTTTGGGGTAGCCATTCCCCTGTGATACGGAATGAAGTGACACATAAGCTTGTTGAAAATAATCATTATCTGCCAATAGATTTCGATTACCATCATCATAGAGGTCCGTAGAGGACCAATAGAATGAATAGCACGTCTGCCTGACTTGGCACCCAATGATTTCTTTCTATGGAGTCATTTGAAATCGGTGATTTATAAAACGGAACCTACTGACCTCGATGATCTGGAGAGAAGAATGAGAACTGAATGCCAGGCAATATCAAGAGAAACATTTTCAAACGTACATGAGGAATTTTCAAATAGACTCTACCACTGTCTGGGAGTCAATGGAGGTAATTTTGAACATCTTTTGTGAATACCTGTTCAATAATTTATTATTTACATTCATTTACTCACAATTAAAAAACATACCATTCGAACTCGAATATCTCGAGAACGACTTGTTGGAATTCAAAATACTTTCCATACTGCTAGTTTCAGAATTGAATTACCTTCGCAATGATGTATAACACGACCCTTATTTCCTATTCAAATTATTGAGGGGGCTGCTCTGGGGAGTAGAGGGTTCAAGCATGGATTATTCATTTCGCGTCGAAAAGTGTCCCCCTCCATATGAAAATCGACCTGTTTCGTCATACTTTTGTGAAATAATAATTCTGGGAGATATCGAAGGTGGATAGTCTTAAATGGACCACCCGGTATAGAAGAACATGTGAAATCTCTAGCTGTGGCGTTAAATACAGGGTGATTCACATAAGAACCGACATAGAGCAGGGACATGTAGGGGGTCCCAAAATATGGCAATTTAACGCAACTTACCTCTGTTGCTTCCCTAAGGAGTTATAGGCTTTGAAAGTGAAGTTATAAGATTTGAAAAAAATCAATATCTCCGTTATTCTTGAACTTGAAGCAACCAAATTTGGTACACTTTGTGGATGTATTTAAGGCGTTACTTGACAGTTACTAGAGTTTAATTGAAATTTGTAAAGGGGGTATGCCGGGTGGCGCACCATTAATATTCAACAGAATTTTGTTAACCCTTGATGGATTTTAAAAATCTTTGCTTTGTTTTATGGGCAATTCAATTCTAAAACTTTTCTTAGACTAGTAATTTCTCGAAAAACCTCATCATTTTCATCAAAATCTCTGATAACTGAAAACGCGTGCTCTAGGTGTGTTATCTAAAATCATCGAAAAATCAAAAGATGACTATGAAAATAAACGCCAAACTTGACAATGAAGCAAGTAAGTTGTTCAATTAAGTAATTTATCGATAAACAATTTTTTGTTCTGGTTTGTTGTTTAAGTTTTTTGTGTTTATTTTGGTTAGTTGTTAATCCCAGTTTTTCACATTTCAGTATCTGTACTTACTTTACGTATTTTGTTACGTATCTAAATGATGATTTGCCAGCCAATTTCTACTGATCACAATTAATGACCTACTTTCTTGTTGTACGTTTATTTTCAAAGCCAACTTTTGAATTTTCGATGATTTTAAATAACACACCTAGAGCGCGCGTTTTCAGTTATTCGAGTTTTTGATGAAAATGATGAGGTTTTTCGAAAAATTACTGGGGTAAGAAAAGTTTGAGAATTGAATTGCCCACACAACGAAGCAAAGACTTTTGAAATCCATCAAGGGTTAACAAAATTCTGTTGAATATTAATGGTGCACCACCCGGTATACCCCCTTTACAAATTTCAATTGAACTCTAGTTACTGTCAAGTAACGCCCTAAATACATCCACAAAGTGTACCAAATTTGGTTGCTTTAAGTTCAAGAATAACGGAGATATTGATTTTTTTCAAAATTTATAACTTCACTTTCAAAGCCTATAACTCCTTAGGGAAGCAACTTGGTATAGAGGTAAGTTGCGTTAAATTGCCATATTTTGGGACCCCCTACATGCCCCTGCTCTATGTCGGTTCTTATGTGAATCACCCTGTATATCAAAAGCCTTCGACCGGCGTGTTTGGCAACAAGGACATCTCCACAAACTACTGTCACAATATTAGGTGTTTTCACCATGTCACAACATAGAGGACTTTTACTATGTCACGACATGGGGATGGTAGTTCACTTATATCGATTTATAAGGGGTATGCTTGGCTAAGGGTTCGCGAAAGGTAATATTATGTAAATAGGTACTACGAACTCCGCTCCGCATCGTTCGTGCAACTGCCATCGCGTGCGGAAAAGTAGTACTTTCCGCATTTGTTAGGTAGATAACTATTCCAACACTTCTTACGTGTTTTTGATGGAAAAGTCATTCCAAACGTGCCGTCATGGCCGCCATATGGTCATGTTCTAGGATACGTGGGATACATGATGACGTCTGATACTATGCTGTTTTTTTGT